ATATATATATATATATATATATATATATATATATATATCTGTGTAATACAAATGCACTAGATAGCTAAAGGACATCAGGTTTTGGCAATTAATTAATAATTGCCACAGGCACAGAACCTACAGGCTTTCATTATATTTTGGGTGCAGTGAGAGGTTAGTCTAGCTATCTGGCTTTCAATATGTATCAGTTTGGTTCATCTTTTTTGTTTATTTGTGACTTAGTATTTGATCAAAGGTAATCAATCCTTTCCTTTCAATCCCTTAGAGAAAGTGGGCATCCTACTTTCCCTTCGTCTCCTTGGCAATCGTCCCCCTCACCAATTGAAGTTACAAATGGATATTATAGGCAAGTAGGCAGTTTCAAGTTGCCTATAAAACTGTCTGGCTTAATTTTACCTGCATGTATCAGTAGTATTTACATTCTCCAAAATGATCCACACTGCAAAAGGAGATTGCAAAAATTTGTACTAAGGTTTTGTGATATTTGGCACTATGGTATATGTGAAAGCTATAATTACTTGAAGAACCATCATAAAACCATTGCTCAGATTTTTGAGGAAAAGAAGCTGAGAATAGCCAGCCTGCACCTGATGCTCTGAGACAGTCAAAATAAAAAAATAAATTTTATAAATAAATACAATAAGAAAATAAGAAATCTATATGGTCCTAATCTGAATATTAGGCCAAATGAGGTATACTAAAATATACTAGTATACTATACTAAAATGCATTTTTTTTGTATTTAAGACTCTATATGGGAAGGTACTGTTGATGAGATTGTTCCATTAAAAATAATCTTCTTTATTAGTGAACAAGTTTTTGTTTTTGATTTTAGCATTTTGGATATGTAGTGAACAACATACATGCTGTAAAATGAAAGGGTGAGATCCATGTTCCCTAGATGATTAAACCAAACTTAAGACCTTCAGAAACAGAATGAAAATATAGTTGGCTGTATCAGTTCAGATTATAGGAGAGAGATAATGATTTTGAATGTTTTCCCTTTGGATACATTCAAAATTTAAAAAATAACATGACGAGAAGAAAAGTTTAACACAGTACTACTTTCAATTTGCAAGAATATAATTATCCCACTAAAAGGCTCTGGATGATCCAGTGTACTGTAATATATTAGAACTCTGCCATGTTCTCTTTGCGCTGCATCTATGCCTATGTTAAGAATTTTAAAAATTTGACAATCATATTAGAAATAGGCTAGGGTGCTTATGTTTCAGAAGAAAAAAGAAATTATCGTTTCACCTGTCATCACAGTAAGTAAATTTCATGTCCATGCTATGACGGCTCAGGAAAGTCTTGCTGTCCAGTGGAATATCAGTATTGGAAGGATGCTGAATAGGCTCACACATCAGAACAAGGCAGGATAAGAGTGGCTCTTTAAAACCACACAGAGCATGAGGAGGACAGGTATTATAGACCTTAATTTGTCCGGTGCAGTGCAAAACCTGAAATGTAAACATTGTTTGTTTATATAATTATATTATTATAACATTGAACAATGGGGGAAAAAATTGGACTGGATTTTTCAACCATTGTTACTAAAGTTACCTTCCATGTGGCAGATTTGAGATTTACAGTTCTGCCCCTGTTAGTAACAGTGCATTTCATTCTCATGAAGAAGTCACGTTCCAGGGACATCTCTTTATTTTTTTTCCCACAACCTGGACCTAAGAAAAAGAAAAAGAAACCTAATTATATTAGCTCTGGAAATATATATCAACTCACTTTCTGGGAGAATTTCCAAAGTTTAAATCTTTACTTTGGATCTCATCTTACAAGATGATTAAAATGTTGCAGGATAAACTAGTTATTGCTTTATTAATAATAAGATTTTAATGAGCAGATAGCTCAGGTTTAAGGAAATCATCACTTTTATAATATAAAAAACGCTAGCTTCACTATTTCGTTACTGTAACTCTGCTACCTTTCTGAGTGATTATTAATTAAATAAGGTTACCATTGTCCCAGAATAGTTTTCTGTTCTGTTGGTTACATTCCAAAGCCTTTATTACTCATAAGGATCCATAGTTTCCTGACGCTCTAGATCACTGTTTCTCAACCTGGATAACTTTAAGATATGTGAACATTGACTCCCAGAATTCCTCAGCCACTATAGTTAGCTGGGGAATTCTGGGAGTTGAAGGCCACAAATCTTAAAGTTGTCTAGGTTGAGAAATATTGCTCTAGATTTCCTCTTGGATGGGTAGCGGATGTTATAATAAGCTCCCTCACCCAATACTATTTTCTGCAGAAGGAACTAACTACTTTAATCAGGAAAAAAAACAACAGAAAAACCATGTGACATCTTAAAGGCTAACACATTTAATATGGTATGTAATTATACATGCAGTGTTTCAATAGATATGGTTAAAACAAATAAAAATAAATAATATTCCACAAATGTATTACTGCCTATAAACTTTTTAAATTATTTAACTAGGTTTATTCTGACAGATTTTAGCAAAATATCTTCCTTTCCATCCAATTTCCAACTTCCTAGTTTTTATAACATAGACGCTGCTATTGTCCTCATATGCTAAGGAGAAGTGGGGAATGAAAAGGTCAATCTAGTTTCCCCCCTCCCTCAGTATCAGTTTTTTTCTGTCTAATCTATATGCAGACAGAATTAAAGAAAGGGATGGATAGATTGCACTTGACTTTGGCTCCCTACCCTTCCATCAAATGTCACAACTGGCATGAAAGCATCTTTCAGCTATTATCCTTACTATGGGATAAAATATAAGTTTGATGGACGGCTAGTCTGGTGGGTTTAATCTAGCATGTCTATGAAGTATGTCCATCAAAATATACTCAAGATTTTGGACAAGCATTTTCCATGGGCGAATATAAAAGAAGTGACAAACAGCTAAAGAGGTATGGGAAATAGGGAGGGATGGAGTACTCTGGTTATGCTAAATCTATGCTCACTAGGAGTCTGAAAAATAGGTGATGGTTGGTAGCAATGAAGGTGAGAAGTGGTGATGGGGAGGACTGCACAGCCCTTCTCCACCATTGTCCATAAGTATTGGATCTGAGCAACAATTGTTAGGAAGGGGCACTGGATAGCAATATCGCCTTTTCAGTACAGCTATTACTGGATATCCTATTCATTTTCACCAGGAACATGACTTTCAAAATGCTTTCAGAAGAATCCTGGATAACAGCTGACTGGTAATGGGGCTAGTATACCATCACGAAGACATCTCTGTTGCAGGGGTGGGTTCCAGCTGGCACTACTGCCGGTTTGCTCATGTGAGCGCTTTGCTGATGGTACCGACCGGGGAACCGGTTTGGGGTATGACAGGCCTGGGTTGCTGCTGATTCCAGTGACCCAGGCCACCAAACCAGTACCAATTTGGCCAAACCGGTCTGAACCAGTAGGAACCCACCACTGCTTTGTTGCTTCACAACACAGACACACCTCTACACAATTTGGCTGCTATAATTCAGGATTCTTCTCACAGTCAACTACTATTTGAGTTGGTTCATCTTTTCAAGCCAGGTCCCCCAAGCTATAGATCAGCCCAGAAACTTGGTAGGTAAAGGGGAATCATCCCAATTTAAAAAGGCTGGATTCTCCTGATATTCCTGTATCGACCTAGATGAAAGAACTAGAGGGATACAGGGATGAGGATATGCCCACACTAGCACAAAGTGACAATTGGGAGTCCCTGACTGCATCACCAGCCAGGGATCTTTTGTCCACAAATAATGTGTACATGTAATGCAACTCTGAAAACCCATTCTCAGGGTTATAATAAATCCTCCAAGGGATCAAGTATATTTAAAAACATTATTTACCATTTTTCAAGCTTAGATTTTCCCGAATTTCTTCATGATCGCATGGGTGAGTGAAATCAAAAATGCTGTGGCCGGTCAATTCCACCTAGAAAAATTAGGAAAACAAACAAACCAAGAATGGTATTTCTATCTTGTTTGCAGAAAAGGCAGAATAAAATCAACTGAGAAAAAGTGAAGAAATAAAAAAAAATACAAAATGTATTTATCTGTGCAATGAGTGAAATAGATAGACAGACAGATCGATAAAAATTTCATCTATCTTCAAACACACAAAAACCATATGAAGGAATGTGATAAAAGCAACGTTAAAGATGGACAGCTCCATGTAGAACATATTGCAGTAATCCACATATGCAATGATAAAAGTATAGATGACCAAGAGAAAGGATTCCTAGGATAGGAAACATTTACCACTGCATAGATACAACCTCATATCATTTCTTGGCAGGCCTTAATCAACCAGGAGGGAGATGGTTCTAATAAGCAGGTAAACAGACTGATAGTTATGAGGATCCTATCAATTTTCTTAAGAGTCACAGGATCAAAAGCTTTGCAGGTAACTGCCACTGTTTCATCTGACTTGGAGAAATCAGTGCTGAGAATTCTGATCAAGCAAGTTAAATAATTAACCACTTGAGTGTTGTGGTCTGTTGGTCTGCAGAGCTGCCAGCATAGTTGAACAGNAAGATAACAAAATACGAAGACCTGAAAATAGAAATAGAATGACTATGGCAGAAGAAAACAAGTTAATACCAATAGTAATAGGTGCCTTGGGTGCAATCCCAAAATAAATGGAGCACCATTTGAACACCATCGGCCTTGACAAAGTCACCATCAGGCAATTGCAAAAGACAGCTTTATTCAGAACAACTTACACCCTGTGGTGATACCTTTAATACCATCAAACATCAACATCTCCCTAGCCCAGGTTTTCGGGAAGGACTCGATTGATAGTTAAAAATGCCAAACCCAGTCTGAACATCTTGGTGACCATAATAATAATAACAATAGTTATGAGATATGTAATTTTCTCATTTCTATTCAGTTGATGCAGGAGTAAGATCCAGTAATTAGAACTTCTAAATAATATTTCTTAAGATTGCAGTTGTACTGCTATAGGCTAATTTCACTTTTATATGGCACTATTAGTATCTTGTTCTTTGCCCAACTCTGACATTGGTCATCCTAACTCCCTTTTTGGGAAATGCCAAGACACATCAATGCAGAATTTAGGCAATTACTGATTTCCCAACACATGCACTTTTATATGAGCAACTCTCAGGGCTATGACATACATTTTACAGGGTGTGTATTTTTCAAATCAGTCTATTACAGGATAGGTGGGATATTAGCATTTAATGTGACTGTCTTTTAAAATGTTAGAATAAGTACCATTCAGGAACTTTTTTCTAGTGCTGAAAGACAACATTATGCATTTTAGACATTTAATATACCACTTTATTTTAATCTTATCTTTTCAACCTGCATCAAACCTCCTTCATGTGGCATTAGCCTCTGAAATACATACACCTTTAAAGCACTTCTTATAGTAGTACATATATTCTGTGGAAATGTCACGTCAACGGGATCATATGTATTATTGGATTAGAAGATCTTTTGGACAAAGGAGGTGTTATTTCACTGCCTTTTCACCCATTCTCACTAAGACCATGTCTACAAGATGGCAAATAGCTGTTTAGATCCTAAATGTCAGAGGACAATGGGTATGTTCTCAAAGACCAGACAAAGTGGAAAATAGGAAAATTCTACCCCTGACTTACATTATATAGAAATATTATCCAAGGATTATGACTTCTGATAATTGGATAAACTATCCATATGCTCTTGTTAATATTCAGCTCATCTTTAAGCTGCATTAACCTTGGGGCACTACTCCTTTAATTACAAACCTGGCCTTAGCTAATTTTTAGAAGTAAATATTGTAATTGGTTAATTTTATTCTACTCCCCATAAAACATAATGTACTAAAAGTGTTTCTTCTTCAGCCCTTTGACCCACCTGAAACACTCTGCTGAAGTAGCCTAACAAAGAGGTACTAGTGGAGCTTTCCCTATTTCTGAAACCTACAGAACATTCAGAATCAATGCTTTTTAAAGCCTTAATGCATGCAGACTGCAGGCATGGAAATCACATTAGCTTGGTCCATGTGGCACAAAGCACCAGATGTGATGATAAATGGCCTGTCAATCTCGTATCATTTACTTCATCCCTTTCAAGTGGCACATGGTCCATGGACAGATAAGAGATGCAGCAACAGACCTGAAAGAAAGTATTCAGACCCCCCATGCTACTGCGTGTGTCGCTCCATATCTAGGAGTCTCTATCTGTACTGCGCAAAATGACAGTACTGCCTCAAATTTATCTATCTCCAGAAGATGTAGTCAAATTGACACTGACCTCTCATCTTCATTTTGTACATTTCTTAACACCTCACCCCACCTCCCCAACATCATTCATTGCCATTATGAGTCTGGAGTTGCACCAGTGTGATGTCAGTAGAAACAGAAAAGAAAATATTGCAAAAGAGTTGTTGCTTTCTGCAACAGTCCTGATTAATAAAAAGAAATGAAACCCCTACTTTTCATTGACAGCATGGAAGCAGCCAGATATATTATTAAAAAAAATCATCATCTGCTTATTCCTTGGGAAAGATTCATTAAGTGGACAAAAATACCAATCCTGTCTAAATATCTGGCTGACTATGCAAACAACAACAACAACAACAACAACAAGTTGAAATTTACATTTATATGCTGTCTGACCTCAGGTGACTGGGTGTAAAAAGCATTAGGACTCAGAAAGTCCTGTCTGAAGCCCTAGATTGGCAAATCTGTTGACACTAAAGTAAGTAGGTTTGCTGTTACTTAATTCTTGCTGGTTGCAACCAATACAGAGTTAGTAGAGCTGGTGGCAGAATAAATGACAGGTGATGGCATGCAGTTACTCAATTGAGTTTCATGGATGAAGATGGTTTAGTTATTTCTAATCTTAACCATGCTGACATGATATTATTTCTCCAATTGGCTTTAATTACACAAAATGTGTACATTTTATGAAAATATTCCCTGACAGATTGGAAGCCACAGTCTTGAGAGAAAGATCAACAACTAACTAATCATGTTTATGTGAGATGCTTAATTGGGTCAGAGGAGAAGGAATCAATGTGTCATTCAAACCAGTTGCTGCCCGTGGGGTTGTAGACAGTAGATTTTTAAGTAGAGTCTTAAAACTTTAATTTTAGTCCCAAATAACCCCAAAGCTGTTACAGGCTAAATTAATTCTCCACCCATATATCTCAGAAAAACGAGAAGGTGGAGGGACTTCTCCAATCCAGCTGCTGAAGCAGTCCTTAGAGGAAGTCTGAAAAATAGGCTTCTCTAAATTATTATGTTAATTATTAAATGTATTTAATAATTTATTTAAATACATAAAGTTATTCAATAATTTATTAAATTACTAGGTCAATTATTAAATTATTAAAAATGGGCTTCCAAAATTATTAGGAAGGTAGGTCTACATTGATTCACAGTCATACTGTAGAGTCACAGGGGAAACTCCTCATCATCTATCACCTGATTCTTTTAAAACCAAGGACTGAATTGGGGATCTTTTTTGTGCAAAGCAGATGCTTTAGCACTGAGACATGGGTTCTCCTCTGTTTTATTTTGTTGGGTCATAAGCAAGGTTGAGGTTGAGGTTTATTCGATTTATATGCCACCCTTCTCCCAAGGACTCAGGGTGGCGTACAACATTAAAAGAAGCACATACTATGAAAGTTAAAAAGAAATTAAATTGGATAGCCCCAAACCCAATTAAAATTAACAATGACACAATTTTTAAAAAAGAATTCAAATTAAAATTAACAATAATCAATACTTTGATTTATTTTGTTCAGGCCAGGCTGGCTTGCTGGAAAAGCCAACTTTTTAGGNAAGGAGGTTGGGGAGGAACATGGGCCAGTCCTGGAGTCTGGGGAAGGCTTGGACGAAGGCTCTGTGTCAGAGACAGAGAGGGGGCCAGGGCCATCTGGGAGTTATGTGCTGCCTCCGGAGCCTGCGGAGTCGGACAGCAGCAAGACAAAGGAACAGGCTCCCCTGTTCCCAGTGCGCATATGCACAGAGCTGCCAGAAGGCAAGAACAATTAAGACAGAAGGGATGACTTGGGAGTAAGGCTTGGAGGTGATTGGCCCCTCCCATAGAACATAAAGGAGGAGCAAAGGCATGTGAACCTTTGCAGGAAGCAACTTGGTTCATGGTGGTCAGGTTACCTTCTGAAGCTCCATTTTGACTCTTTGCTCCATGTGGTCTTGCCAAGCTAATTGGCAGCGTGTCAAGAAAGATAAAGGTGGGTGCTTATCATCCTTATCCCGAAGGACTTTGGCAGCATACTGCAGGACTCCTTACAACTATTTAGGACTCTTTATGGGCTGTGAATGAACATAATTCACAGCCTTTGAAATAAAAAGAAGGTTCTGGGGACTAAGCATGTGCTTTTTACTGTCTCAGGAAGCCTATGTCAGAACATTGAGGTTGACTCAGCAGGTGCAGATGTGGGAGGAAATAGATGATAAGGGACCAAATCCTTGCAGAATTCCCAATTTGAGGATGCATCAGAAGTTTTGGAGCATTTGAGCATGGGGTTTCTTAAGAAGCAAAGGCACAAGTACCCATAACAGAATTATACAACAATCTGGTCCCAATTCCCATGGTACTCCCATTCCAGATGGAGATTAAAACATCAACTGAACTCCAAGAAAAATATGAATCTGGTCCATTAGATACCTGGCACATTCTGATCAAATAATGTCTTTCTTCCCGCTGAAGGAAGGGGCAGCCTGTTAGCTCAAAAGCAACCAGACAGTCATCTGATTCTTACACAGGACTGATGCTAACGTTCTCCATTTTCAAATTATGTTGAACTGTCCTGAGATAAAAAGCAGATCTAGCACATTATTACCTCCGTGCGTTGGGCTTTCAGTAACTTAGGTCAATCTATGGCAGTCATGGTAACCATGTGAACTCCTGTGTTAATGCCACATTAAGGAAATTTAAAAACTGCTAAAATTATCAAGCTTGAAGACTCCATGGACACCTCAACCCCGGGCAATGAAGTTGCTGCATAGCAGGAAGTCCAGAAAGCAGCAACACATCCACCTGTTTCCTAGACCCCAATTTCAATCACGGGGATTCATATTCAGTTTTCTGGAGTGCCATGCCTCTGAAAACCATTAAGGCTTCCTGAATGACAACTGCTATTCTATCCTCTCTGTTCAGGGATCACAGCTAGTTCTAAATTTGAAATCCATCTGGGCAAACCTCAGAGAAAAAATACTTCTCTTCAATCCAACCCTTGTCTCAGTTACATATGCCACATTGACTGCCTCACCCATGATAAGGTCATGAATGAGGAGTATTGCTACCACCAGCCTGGCTTTTAACAGTACCAGATGTAGACCAGGGTTGATCATCCTGTGAACAGTGTTGTACAGACTTGCCATTATCAGTAATACGTTCAAACTCACTCAGATCTTTAGCTGAACTCTAGACAATAATGGGAACCAAAACAAATCATCATTGTGAAATGAAAAAAATATAGGAAGCCATAAGGAGGATGCAGGGCCTAATCCTACCTGTACAAAATATCTCACACCCTCTATCCAAACCAGTAGTATGATTTATTGGGCAAATATACGCGTACAAATCCCTATTCTTCTACACTACACAGCTATATACATAGAACTTGTATGGCTTCAGGGCATCTTCTTGTGCCTCTAATCCTACACAAATGAATTGGTCTCTTCATGGAACAATGCTGCATATATAACAGAACAAGTATTTTTTATCTCTCTGAGATATATAGAAAATATTTTGTTCAATCTTATTTTTTAAAAAAATCCTTCACCAAGAGAAGAATGTGAGAAGGAGCAGAGAGTCATATCCAACTTGTATGAAAAATCAGTAGATAAAACTCTTACCTGTGTCAAGCCCATATATTTGCTGATGTTTTCAGATAAAAAGATCATGTCTCCATCCTGTGTGATGACAGTGATAAAACCCTCTAAAGCTTTCAGGTACAAGTTATCCAGCTGTTGATCTGTCTCAATTCCTCTCTCATTGTGGGTGCAGACTGTAGGCATGGGTTGTGGGAAACGGAGCCGAATGGAAGTAAAAAGGGAAAGATAGTAAGCAATTAACAACCAAATCCTACTGATCCATCCCTATATGCAATAAATACATAATTTAACTAGAAACTAACAATACAGTCATTTTAAAGTAATGGTAAATTATACAGTGAGACGTTGAATCTTATACCCAGTTAGCATTAAGTCCTAAAGAGGAGGGTGGACTGTAGTGTATATTCAATTAAATATACATATAAGATAGCACTAGAAATAGGATATTGTCTACTTATTGCATAGGAAGGAACATCACCAAAAATATTCAAAGATATTTATGTAGAAATTACATATGATAATTAATATACTGTAGTAGGATATAAATTTTGAAGTCATTCCTATAAATTCATTGCTCAATAAATCTCAATATATCAATCTCAGATTTTTAATAGATGGACTTTGTTAAGATGCGAATTGTTAATGTCAGGGAACTGTAATTCTTTCATCTCCGTCTTCAAGAAAACATCTTGCCTGATGTAGTTGCTGGAAAAATACATACATTGTAAGAACATTATCAGTAACACTATCCATTGGTGGAAAAAATGGATCATTCTAGAGTTTCCCTATATAATCCTCCCCAATGTTGATGCAATTACCATACTTACTATTTTACCAGGACTAAGCAAACACAATTGTAGCACATTTCAGTATCATATATGTAAATCAGATGTTAAGTCATAGTAACCCAAACACAGAATCATTACAGAAAAGAAAAATAGGTCTAGGACCTAGCCATCCATGACTTCCCATTTTTAGCTTGTCATTTCTATCTTTTTATTAGTTTATAACATAAAATACAAAAATACAAAATGGGAAAAGCAGGGGAGGAAAAAGAGAAGAGAAAAGTGTAGTGAAGAAGTGAAAAGGAACAAAGGACATTGACTTCCAACTCCTTTTGGTGTATTAGAAATAAGAAGTAATATCGAACCTCAACTTTTTACTTTTACATAATAGTATAAACTAACCATTTCTATAACAGCAAATCTAAATAATCAGTAAAACCCAAAACCAAAGTTTCATTTTTTTCCACCTCAAGCACAAAGTTCAGAAGTGGTTTTCAAGTAGAAGCGAAAGTACTTGTTTTTTTTTCTTTTATCAAAGCAGTGAATTTAGCCTTCTCTGCTAACTCCATCAGCTTTTGCAACCATTCATCCATTGTGGGGATTAAAGTGTCCTTCCATTTTTGTGCATAAAATAATCTTGCTGCCATCAACAAATGTAACATGAAAGTTACATTCCCTCCCCCAAGTCTTTTTCCATTAAATCCAAGAGAAAAGTTTTAATTATTGTTTTCATTCCTTTTTCATTTTGCCAGCTATTAATTCTTTCTTTTCCTTTATATTTGTCTTTTATTTTTCTTAACTTTGCCTTTTCTTGTTGACACATACCTACCATCTATAGCAGCAAACAAATTGATTCTGTTTTAGTACACTCTAGAAATGCAGAGAAACAAGTATTATGAGCTAGGAAGATTTTGTTACAAGTAATCACTAGTGGCAAATTTAATAGGGGGCTTAAAGGTCACCACTGTTTTAGATTCTCAGCTCTACCCTCTTATTTTGCAACATGGGCATACCAAAATGGGCAGAAAGGAGGGTAGGTGTAAGAGTTATTGAGAATTGTATTTTCACACAATTAATTTTACATAATGTTTTACAAATAAATATTTCCTATATTTTGGTAAAATCAGAAAAGTTTGCTAGCATCACTGGTCACAGAAAACTACATTAATTGCTTCAAAATTAAGCAATCAAAGAATCATTTCCTCCTCTTCCTCCTCCTCCTCCCCCCCATCCCAAATCACATTTGAAATATAACTGAATCTCAGGATCAAACATGCATATTATGTAGAAGGTCTATTCACAGAAGGTAAAGCTAAAGTTTGTTAGGATACCGTCCCTCATCCTGGTTCCACCAAAGCCAATGTTCATGTTTGTTGGGGAGGTTTGGGAAGGGTCAATCAAATTGGGAAAAAGTACTAGACACTTATATAGCTTTATGTATTATCTTGACTGCAATTTTGGTTCATTAATGACATTATCTAGTATAGGAAATAAGTTTCCATCTCTAGCAAATTACTTTCATTAGACGTTGGTGAAAGATAGATGGATATTTAACAGAAAGGACTGTTAACAGATATAGATATACATACTTTAAAAAAAAATGCAGTGTTAAAAAACTACAAATTGTTATGATTTCACCAATTATCTCAGAATGGGCTGGAAACAGGGCTCAGTTTATGCGCAATATGTCTTCTAACGGATTCATGCCCTTTAAAATGCCCTTTATGGAAGCAACAGCTTGTGGTAGTACAGAAATATTACCCAACAAAAGACTGGTTTTATTTTTTTCAATTTGGTTTAAAAATAACATGCGTAATTTTTCTTCTTCCAAAGGGATACAATTTTTAAAAAACCAGGAAAAATAAAATTTGAGATTTTTTAAAAATAATATTGCAGGTGAATGTAGTCAAATATGTACCTTGGACTTTAAAAAAGTGATTTTAATCAACAAGGGCAGTGGCTAATATGATAATATTACCATACATGGGAAAATTAGCTCATGGAAGGTGGGCTTACACTAAAATGATCCTAAAAGTGGAACTGCAAACAGTTCCAATGAGGAAAAAAAATGGAGTACCAAAGAATTCAATGTGGTTGAAAATCTGAAAATCTGAAACCTGAAAACAAACCAAAAGAACCCCCCCAAAATTGGACATAGTCAGGAAATGTAAAGAAGGATAGGTCACCAATGAAGTTCTGAAGTATGGTTCTGAAAGTACCTTATAGTTGTAGTAATGGTGGGAAGGAAAAAAAAGCTCAAAATGTGATGAAATTAAGGGGGTGGGATGCTCAAAACCACAAATGCCTTGGTATTTTAAAAATAAAATGAAAAGAAAAGAATCATTATACCAATTGCTTTTGTGAAGATGCCAAAATTCAAGTAGTTAATAGAGAATAAGATTCTTGTCTCTGCAGTGCCTGAAGATTTGGTCACCTTTTGCCATTTGGTCACCTTTTGCCATTTAATCTCACTTTACCTTAACTCAAAAGTTTGTTACAAAGATAAAATCAAATAAAGGTATACTTTATATGTGTTAGACCAGGGATCTCCAACCTTAGCAACTTTAAGCCTGGAGGACTTCAACTCCCAAAATTCCCCAGCCAGAGCTGGCTGGGGAATTCTGGGAGCTGAAGTCCTCCAGGCTTAAAGTTGCCACGGTTGGAGACACCTGTGTTAGACTGTCATGCAGGGAATGAAGGGAAGAGAAATTAATTTCCTCAGTGCAATCACACTGGTCATTGAACCAAAGGTCAGGAAGTGAACTGGTTCGCTGACATGGAATGGATGTTACAGAGTATGGGGCTTCCTTTCTATTTAGTTAGTCATTCAGACTGAGAAAGCACAGCATCCAATGTCCCAGATGTTTTAAAAAAGAATTTAGTAGAGAGAATTCATGGAGGAGGAAGCCATCAATCCGTGTTACCTGTAACATTGCTGTGCAAAGCTTCCATAGCAAAGGTTAATTATATGATATGGGGAATAAAGTATAACATGCCATATTATAGTATTTGGATGTTGGGGAGGTCAAAAACAGACAGTATAGTCATTCATTGATCCACCCATCCTATTAGTAGATAAGTAAGTTAAGAAATCTGGCTATGAAAAGAAATATGGGTACAGAATAAATGTCACCCATATTCCATAAATTATCTCTCAGCTAGTTACCATGTTCCTCTACTCTTTGTTCAATTTCTTACTTTTGTCTTACTTTTTCCTTTTCCTAAAAAAAATGCTGTCACTGTGTATGATCACCTCTATTGTAATTTCCAGTTAACTCATTCTTTTTTTTGGCCTTTACGCTTTTCTTTTCGCAGCAAGACCTTTCCCAACAACACTACATGTGATGTATTGTGAAAAGGTAATATGGGGTGCAGAACAACTTGCTCAAGGCAACAGGATGGAAGCATCTTTTGGAGTCTAGCTCCAGAGAGCAGGAGTCAAAAAAGTGAATCTGATTTTCATCTGTACCTGCCATATATGGCAGCTACTTCCCTCTGCCTACTATTATAGCCGGCCCTATGAGAACAAAAAGGAAAGAAATGTGAAGACTTTGGGAAGCAGGAAAAATGACGAAATAGACTGTATATTTGAAGCAGCTACTGGAACCATTGTCTTGAACCTCAATACACTTGAGCAGAAAAGGAAACAGTTTAGCTCACCCACCCATCTTGCTTGACTGTGGCTGTAAAATGAATATTGTCTTATGCTGTATTTAAATAATTTCCTAATGACATTTTGCAACAAGTGCCAAATATAGGCTCCTTTTCGGACAAAGGTATTTTCTAAATTAAGGTTTTTTGTTTGCTATCTGCAGTCAGATATTAGAGATGTGTTCCAAACAATGGAAAATGGAAGTTGCAGGAAAACTCCAAGTTATGCATATAGAAGTTATTATAAAACAGAGCTTTGGATAGGAACCACAGGAATTTACTTTAAACTAAGTCAGGACATTGATTCAGGCAGATGTCCTTTTCAAAATTGCCAGTCAATCCACTTTTAAGACTGCCCATTTATTAATGATTGAAAGGCTTGCAGATAGTTAAAACAATAAAAAGTAAAACAAACATGTTGGGAAGAACAAATCAGATATATTATATTACAGCTGGTACTCTGTGGGACGATTCAGAAAACTAACTCAGAGTCTGCCAGAACAGCCACATTTTAAAGTCTTCCCTGAAGGACAACAGGTTCAGGGCCAAAAGGGCCTTTGGGGCACTGGGCAGTGTACTATCCATAGCGAGATCCAGTTTGGTGTAGTGATTAAGGCAGGGTGTCAAACTAATTGCTTTGAGGGCCGGAACAGCATTGTAGTTCTCCTCCACAGGCTGGCTGGGGTGGGTGGGCAGCACCCTGCTGGCCAAAATGGGGTGCCACCTGGATGGCACCT